CATCATGATATACATAAGGCATCCAACTAATTCTCTATAGGGCTTCTTTTCATCGTCTACCGCATTTGTATAGGACGTATCTATGGACGACTTCGATTCCATCGGTGTGTTCACTGGTTTGCTATCTTGCATACCGAACCATTTCAGCAGATTCGAGATATATGTTGATTGACTAAGATCCATTCGTTGCTTGTGCCTCTCTATTTTTATTCCAAGAAAATTCTTTAACGATCCAAGATCTTTCATAGAGAAACGTTCTTCCAACAGGTGCTTAATTTCAATCAGTCGATCTTTATTATTTCCGGCAATGATGACATCAACATACAGTAGTAGGTATATTCTTGATTTTTCATCTGATTCGTAAAACATACACTGATCATATTCTGATTGCTTCAAGCCAATCTTTTTCGCGTAGGTTTTAAATTCAAAATTCCAAATACGCGGTGATTGCTTCAGTCTATATAGAGTTTTATTGAGTCTGCATACTCGCGACGTTCCATCTTCACAGCCTTCTGGCTGTTTCATATATATTTCTTGAGTGAGTTTCCCATGGAGAAAGGCATTTTTGACATCCAGTTGATCCACGTACAAGTCTTCATTGATTATAATTGACAACAAAATTCTTACTGTAGTCAGTCTTGCTACTGGCGCGTACGTCTCATCGTAGTCAAAACCCTTTTTTTGTAAACAGCCCTTTACTACAAGCCGTGCTTTATAACGCTGGATATTTCCATGTTCATCACGTTTGATTTTGAATATCCATTTATTGTCGATTGCCCTTTTTCCACTGGGTAGGTATGTCAAATTCCAAGTCTTATTATCTTGAATCGCCTTTAGTTCTTCATTTATTGCCTCAAGCCATTCCTCTTTATCATTACGAGAGTCAATTTCAGCATAACAACTTGGAACGTCTTCAACGTAACTCTCAGCATGCAAAACCAGCACACAATAATCTTCAAGATAAGAAAGTGTTTTCTTTTCACGAATACTTCGACGAGGACCTGGTTGTTCGTTTACAACTCTTGAGTTAGTTACAGTTTTATCTTTTATTCCTGTATTAATAGATTCAGTTTCAGATGAACTTTCTTCTTGATCCTCCTCCGTTGCGGTTGTGAATTCTTCATCTTCATGTTCAGATTCCAATTCCTCTTGACATTTGTTCCGATAAACGGTTGATGATGTTTAAATCTTGTTTCATCAAAAATGACATCTCGGCTACAGATTATTCGTTGTTCTTCTGGACACCATAAGCGGTAACCATTATCTGTGTATCCCACCATGATACAGTTTTTTGATCGAGAATCAAATTTCCTGGGATTTAATTCCTTAGGTACATGCATGTACGCAATGCATCCAAAGACTTTTAGTTTCCTTACATCTGGCCTTTTATTATACCATAACTCCGCTGGAACTATATTTTTCAATGCTGCTGTCGGACTTCGATTAATAATATAAATTGCACTTAGAACTGCTTCCGCCCAATAACTTTTATCTAGCTGTGAATGTAATATCATACATCGAGCTTTATCAAGAATGGTTCTGTTCATCCTTTCGGCAACGCCGTTTTGTTGTGGCGTATATCGAATTGTGTATTCAATATGGATTCCTTTTTCTTGAAACGCTTGAATCATTTCTTTAGGTGTATATTCCCGGCCGTTGTCACAACGAAATCTACTGATTTTTGAATTAAAGTGTGCAGTGACCATAGCCTCATAAATTTTAAAGTAGTGGAAAACTTCACTTTTTCTTTTAAGTAGATACGCAACTGTAAAGTGTGTGTAATCGTCGATAAATGTCAGTATATATCGATTACCTTCTCGTGACTCAGGTGTAATTGATCCAACTACATCGCTGTGTATGAGTTCCAATGGACGTTTAGCTCTTGTCCTTTCCTGATTGTGAGGCAATTTCGTTTGCTTTTCCTCTATACAGGTATGACAGATTTTATTATTTGTTAGTTCCAATGTTGTGGAATCTATTCCGTCCACCATTGTTGCGACCCTTTTTAGATTATTAAGTCCTATATGTCCGTAACGTTCATGCCAGATTTTAGCATCATCCCTTACTTGTACGACAGTTGCTATTTTAGCCAAGCTCATTAATTCCAATTCATATACTTGATGTCTTCTGTACGCTACTGCATAAACTTGAGTATCTTTTTGTATTTTTCTTTTCTTATTTTCAAAAACGACTTTAAAATCATTTGCTTCAAGTTTTGGCACTGACAACAAGTTAAATTCTAATCCAGGCACATAGAAGACATTTTTAACAGTGACTTCAATTTCCTCTCCGTTAACAATAGTTTTTCCATAAATAGTGCCTACTTTATTTGCCATTAACGTTGTACCGGCTTTTGCAATACGAATTTTTGTAGGTTGTGTCAATAATCTTGTATTTCGCCGAAGCTTTTCATCCCTGGTTAAATGCTCTGATGCTCCGGAATCTAAAATCCAGGTAGAATCCTTTTCGTGTTTTATATCATTAATTATTGCTGAAAAACTAACTGCTTTGGATTTATCTGCATCTGCCGCGAGATTTGCTTGCTTTTCCTTATATTTGTTCTGTCGAATTCCTTCAGGCTGTTGCTTCGGTTTCTTACATTCCGACCGGCGATGACCATATGCACCACAGTTGTAACACCTGTAATTGAAATGTTTGTTTCCAGTGTCACGTATATTTTTCCGACTGTCATTCGTCGATAAAGTAAATTCTGTAGAATGCTGTGCTTCGTTCTTTGTTGATTTAACATTTCCTTTCCGTTTAGACTCTTCATCAAGGAAACGATTTTTGACAAAACTTAGAGTCAATGATTCCTTCGATAACGTTTCCAACGCCGTCACTACGACATCATATTCAGGGGGCATTGTTAAGAGTAAATGACACACAATGTCCGTTTCTTCCATGTTCGCTCCTGTGGACTTAAGTTCACGTACAAACGATTCAAATTTTAGGAAATGCGACGATAATGACTCAACTGAAGGTTTAAATTTCATTAACAATAATTTTTTGCGTAAGAGTAATTGACTGGCTACACCTCGTCGTTCAAATACATTTTTTAATTCCGTCCAGATGTCAAAAGCAGATAACTTATCTTTTGCGTACTCTAAATGCGAATCTGCTATCCTTTGGACTATTTGGGACTTGCATTTCGTGTCCTTTCTCTTTAGACTTACCATTCGCGAATTGTAAACCTCTTGTGTCTCTTCAGCTCTTATTTCAGCATCTAATACTTGAGATTTGATATGTTCTTTCAAACTGAGCTCTTCCAGCAATACTTCCATTCAAAACTTCCAGTTGTTATAATTTGTACCATCAAAGAGTGGTACTCGATGCTTATCTTCCTCCATTGAGTCGAGATTATTCCTCCTTTTCGTCAGTGTGAGGTTAGTCGATTCAATTTTTTATAACTGGGCAATTGCTGAGCAATTCCTGGGCCCATAACCTGTTATTACTATTAATATTATGCGCACTTTCGACCCCGCACACCCAGAGGAGAAAGAAAGGAGCTGATTATATCTCTTCAGAGAATTAAAGAGAGAATTTGTATAAAACCACACCTTTATTAGTACAGAGGTTCGCGCTAGCCAGTAAGCAAGGTACAAAGGGCAAACGCTAGGGGGCGAGACAAAAGAAGAAAATAAGTGTCACTGTAGCGCCGCACTAGCGCTAGTTTTAAAAACAATACATAACAAGTATAACTAACTTTCTAACATAAATATAATTAGTATTTATTTGACCTTGAAATTATCTTGAAAAGCTCCGTCAAGGTCAACATAAAAATCTTAAATAAGAACCCCTATTTTTTGTTGCATATTTCATATTTTTGTAACTTATTTGTACTACTGTAAATATTATTAACTATTATATTATAGCTATTGTACTATTGTAACTATTATTTATGTAAAATGTGAAATATCTCGTAAAGTATTTACTTTTTAATGATTTTACCTTGTTATTTTTATACAGGGTGTCTGGCAATAATTGCCCCACCGGTCATATACAGGTAGAGGAGGTCAAATCGAGTAGAAAAGTCCTTTACCATTTTTTAATTTTCATAATAAGTACTGAGTAATTAACGAAAAAAGATCGGCGAATCCGCGCGAGTAAAGCGCGCGCGGTGAGAAGGACGTCCCACTGCTATGCGATCACTAGGCGCGCGATGAAGCGTTGGGAGGAGCGCTCTACAAATGACAATGGCAACATACGAGCGGCGCGTAACGCTAGATCCTTGTGTCCTAGTGATCGCGTAGTAGTGGGACGTCCTTCTCACCGCGCGCGCTTTACTCGCGCGGATTCGCCGATCTTTTTTCGTTAATTACTCAGTACTTATTATGAAAATTAAAAAATGGTAAAGGACTTTTCTACTCGATTTGACATCCTCTACCTGTATATGACCGGTGGGGCGATTATTGCCAGACACCCTGTATATAGAGTAGTGAGAAAAATTAATATTAAAAAAACAGAATTAAACAGTATTAAACAGAAAAATTATTTAAAAATTTTATAACATTTTGCAAAGTTGCAAATGTAAAAATTAGTATTACCAATTGATTTTTTTATTTTACATAAAAAATATTCAGGTATGAAATGAAGGAAAAGTAAATACCTTATATATGTATATAAATATATATTGCAAAAAAGACAATTATAAAAAAAAGTTGGAAAATATGTTAATAATAATGTTGAAATTCTAATGACGCAGTAATGAATTTTTAATGATAAACGCAAAAAAACATAGCATTATTATTGTTATATATTAAATAACGTACACGAAGAAAACTTTATATAAAAAATTACTATGTACGGCAGTAGCCGCGGACCATGAAAAAATTAAAAAAATTTTTATTATGTTTTTCACATGTAAAACATAGTAAAAATTTTCGGTCTGTGGCTACTGCCTGCCGTACATAGTAATTTTTGATATAAAATTTTTTCCGTGTAATTATTATTATAACGTATTATAATTGTTCAGTATTAAATTTCTGATTATTTTATAACAGGATCGACAAATGGTGGCATCACCAGTGGAACAATTATCGCCGGAAAACGAGACATTAGAAAGGCGAAACCTGAAGAGCATTTTGAAGAAGTTGTCGGCCAGCAGTAGAACTGGTAGTAGCGAAATCTCGGTCACGAGCACACCAAATCGCGAGGCCGCAACTGCCGAACTGAAGAGGCTGATGAGAGCGCCGACGATCGAGGGTTATGCCGCGCGGCACTCGAAACTGTCTAAGAGCGTAACCTTCAATAAGTACACACTGCAGAGTCCGCCATCCGAGCAGCCCCTGCAGTTGTCGCCAAATCATGCGCTATCCGAGTTCCAGGCTCAGTCGTCACTGCCGCCGCCCAATAAATTCAGTTTCCGTCCTGTGGGCAGTGTCGGCATCCTACAAACGGTATCTCGACCACGAGAAGAGGAATGCCTGGGCGAACTACTTTCCGGAGTCGGTGAAATTATCAAGGCGGGCCTGGTGAGTTGCTTCTTTTATTTCTATATCGGTGTACAAATTTAACTGTCTCACGTAGACTAACAAATTAATTTCTTTAAGAAAAATTATAATTTCGCACTAACATCCCGCGACGGCTCTCTATGCCTTTCTATTATATTAATTGATTGTTATCATTTGAGCCATTCCTTTATATGTGTTAAATTCTTTTATTTCTGTTTTTATTTCAGTATTTAATTTCAATGCATTTTGAGACTCATTTGTCGTTACGCACGCTTAATGAAAAGATACTTTTTAAATTAAGGATGTCTTTTGTCGGTACAACTCGACATTTTTGACGAAAATATAATCCAAACGATATTTCAAAGACAAATAAATTTAAAATATTTAATGAAAAAACAAATTATATATATACTTTATATATACAAATTATACAGGGTGTCCAATTTTAATTGTCCCAGCCAGATATCTCAAAAATATGGGAGATACGGAAAAATGTTTTAGACAAAAATTATACGGCCTCAAAGAGGATAAATAATGGTAAAATTAATTTAAAAAAAAACAAAACAATTCTTCAAGATCATATAAAAGTCATCTTAATCATCATAAAGGTTATCTTCATTTTTTTAAATAAAACTCTGATTTTTTTATATAAATCGATTCCTCGCAATACTCGGCATAAAAAGTTATAAGAGTAGAATGGTCAAAAATTGAATACTTTACGAGATATTTTATACTTTAATTTGATACAATTTTACACAAACTATGAAATATCTCGTTAAATATTCATTTTTCAATTATCTTATCAATTATCTAAGAAAAAATATGATATGGTATTATTTTAGCTAATATTTTTTCTTAAAGACAACCATGTGTTTTTTTGACACCAATTGATTCCTCTCATTATATTGTGCATAAAAGTGTTGAGGTAAGAAATTAAAGAATAAATATTTAACGAGATATTTCATAGTTTATGTAAAATTATATCAAATTAAAGTATAAAATATCTCGTAAAGTATTCAATTTTTGACCATCCTACTCTTATAACTTTTTATGGCGAGTATTGCGAGGAATCGATTTATATAAAAAAATCAGAGTAGTTTTATTTTAAAAAATGAAGATAACCTTTATGATGATTAAGATGACTTTTATATGATCTTGAAGAATTGTTTTGTTTTTTTTAAATTAACTTTACCATTATTTATCCTCTTTGAGGCCGTATAATTTTTGTCTGAAACATTTTTCCGTATTTTTCATATTTTTGAGATATCTGCCTGGGGCAATATATATATATATATATTATATACAGGGTGTCCCTTAACTCCCGCAACAGCGGAAAGGGACATATTCCTGATGAAGAATAGATTCATAATACACAAAAATTAATGCTTAGACTATAAAATTGTAGGAGTAATTAAAGGTTGAAAATGATTAATAAAAGAGCATGGAACGTGACGCTTTTATTTGAAAATTTAGTAAATACTCGGGACAAGTATTGCCAAGTTCATGTTGCGTCGCTGTTGATTGTCGAATTTCCAGGCGGTCAACTGTCATTCGCTCTGTATGAGGAGGCGATTGACAATCACGATAATTTACTAAATTTTCAAATAAAAGCATCGCGTTCCATTCTTTCCCATTGGTCACTTTCAACCTTTAATTACTCCTACAATTTTATAGCTTCAGCATTAATTTTTGTGTGTTATGAATCTATTCTTTGTCAGGAATATGCCCCTTTCCGCTGTTGCGGGAGTTGCGGGACATCCTGTATACAGACCTTGTGCAAGCATCAGTTTGACCAGGCAATCACCTGGGAGGCCAACCCCGAGACAGGGCGCTGAAGACGCTTTAATTTTTCTAAGAAAAAAAGATCTTTCCCAGACCTAAATTTTAAAAATATGTATTGCTTAAATACAAAATTTGCTCTTGTTTCCATTCAAATATATCTGTATTCCAATATTATCCCAGTCGAATTGTATTTCAACTACATTTATATTCGACGTAGAATCGTACGGATCGAGAAATGTAGGGTATCTTGTAATCCATTGGATACCGCCGATACCGGGGCGCCTACACCCGCGCCGCGTCAATTCGAATATCACGTTGTAGGAATTATAATTCCGTATTTGGCGATCATAATGGCTAAAATATTGGAGTTAGATAAAATATGTATAGGAATATGTATAGGACCTTATTTGTAGAGCATTTTATGAGCTTCATTTTTTGTTTGACAACTTTTTTCGTACAATGAACACTTTCTAAAATAATTAACAAAAACAGTTTTACCTTTGAGGTTGGCTGGGAGGTGGAGGGAGCATTTGCGTCAAAAATTCATTTGAGAATATTATTTACTAGATAAAATAAGTATTTAGGCTGAAAATCAGCCAAATCGGAGGTGATAGCTTTTCGGAAGTTTATCCAAATAAATAATGTTAAATAATGATATTAATTATTGTAATAATTACTACAAATATATATAAGTTACAACTTACGACTCTAGAATTATACCGTACAAAAAATATGTTTTTATCTATAGGGCGCCATATTTTATCACTTGCCTGGGGCGCTTGTTCAACTCGCACCGGCCCTGCCTGTATATAAATATATATTATGCTTTTTTCTTTAAATATTCTAAATTTATTTAGTTTTATTTATTTGTAAGACCATAAATTTATAATATATCTATTTGTACATGTTTCTCAAACTCCTAACTTATTATCGTTAGATATATCGTCCATCAAACGCATCAATTATCCAATTCTACTCGTAAGAGTTTTCATTAATGGATGATATACGCTGCTATCCCGATTAATCATGTTGCCGTTTTGACATTGCAGGTGGATATGCAGGGCAAATTCGAGCGACAGTTTACGTCGCTGGAGTTGGAAGTCCGTAAACGCGATGAGATAATATCGCAGCTGCAAACACGCATCCAGGAGCTGGAGCGACGCAAACTACGCAGTGAAGATGATTCCGGCGGGGATAGCACCGAGCACGATGCTTCCATAGAAGAAGACCTCGATGACGATCGCGAGGATCATCCCTTCATGCGGGACAGTTCCGTGGATACCGTCCTGACTACGCGATCACGTGATCGACATTCGTCCTCGTCGGTGGGCTCGAGCTCACGTAGCAGGCGATCGTGGGAAGAGCATTCAGAAAGGGAGACATTGGAGTTGCAAGAGCTGCCGAATTCGATAGTGCCGCAGAGATTGTCACAAGATGTAGCAATTGACCTGGATTCCAACAGTGACAGCAGGTCAGACGATGGGTTTGATGTCTGCGGCCGTCGTAATGGTGATAGCGATGAGGGTGACGAAGAGGATGATGAAGAAGAGGACGATGAGGACGATGACGAAAAAATTGTGCGACAGGACGGCTACAATAACTGGGAAGTCGCATTGCTGGCGAAGCAGCTCGAGGCGAGGAGAAGGAGTGGCGATAATGCTAGTCCGGGTTCCTAGCGCATTAACGAGATTCTAGAAATACTGTGTTACCTCACAAATACAATACGCTCCGATGGATGGTGCAATTCGCTGGCTGGGTCCAGCAGTAGTGCAGCTTTTTGCGAACACGACCATCGCTCATACTTACAATTAGACTTCGATAACATGACTAGCTGCAGCGAGACTATGATGTAACCTGGTCGGTGGATGTTAATATATATTTTTGTTTTTAATACTTTTTTCTTTTTTAAAGAACACGTTGCAAAAGGATCACCCATGGAAGATCGGTAAAAAGTTCTTTCTCACTCAGTAAAGCATTATGCTTATGCCATAAGCCTTCCATGGATGACCCTTTTGCAACGTGTTCTATTTGACATTTGTGATAAGTTTCTAACTTGATGAGTCGGCGATCATGTATAATAATTTTATTTTCTTATATTGCTTATAATATTTTGCGAAGATTAAACAAAATGTTACCAGAGCAACGTTTTGCAGAGCAACGTTTGTAGAATAATTGTGTCGTGTAAGTTATTTTTACGGAGAATCGATAACATTTCATATTTTATATTTTGTATGGTACTTTACTACAAATGCGTATAAATATACTTTCACGCATTTCTGATAAATTTTCTGCTTTTAAAAATTTTGTTCTCTTTGCTTTTTGCTACTATAAAAAGTAAATATTACAATCGACTTAAACTTTATAGCTGAAATCGTTTAATTTTTTTCAAATTTACATTCATTGAATTGTAAATATTCACAGGTGTGCCTGAGGATATATTATACTTGGGATATTCTCTCAGAACTTATATACAGAGTGTACAAAAAAGGTCGAAACCCTAAAATATCTCAATAAATATAAATTTTATAAAAAAATGTTTCAGATAAAAGTTGTAGGGTTTAGAAAGATCTATTTACTGATCTTATCAGTTTCACCTTGGATAGCGTTGCCAACGTCAGAGCAAAAAATTACAAACGTTCCTACCAAAATGCGGTCCTGCACAGTTTTGCTGGAACCATGTCCTTCATTAGCCGAATCACCCGCCGATCTTGCCTTCATTGGTTGGATCAACTACCGATCTTGCATTCGTTGGTTGGACATCTTATCATAAAAACCTCGATAACTTCGAAACGATTGACTCAAAGTGAATAAAATTATAGTGTGTTGAAAAGGTCTTAAGAAGGACTATAAGAGTATGCAATAAGAAATAAAGGATTCCATTTAAAAAATTCAAAATAATCTTGCTTTGATCTTGGCCACCCCAGATCAGTAAATAGATCTTTTTAAACGCTACAACTTTTATCTGAAACATGTTTTTATAAAACTCATATTTTTTTAGATATTTTAGGATTTCGACCTTTTTTATACATCCTGTATGTATAAACGTCTTAATTGAACGTACAAGATACCTCAGAGTAGTTATATATCAATATCAAAATTGTAATCTACAGAGAGTTTCTTAAGTGCAAACCTAAGAATTTTTTGGGCCAAAAATCGAAACTTAAACTATAATACCGACAACAATATCCGAACACCAGTATGCTTCACATACATCTGATATATCTGGATTATTCTGCCATTTTCTTGGCAATGCTCGAATTTGAGTAAGCATCGTTCCCTCTCATCATATTCATATACATGTCATCATATTCATATACATGTCATCATATTCCTGAAAAGCTGCACCATAAATAAACAGAGATATTAGTCGGTTCTATGAAACAAGAAGAAATAAATAATTTTAGAAAAAAAGAGATAAACAGAAATAAATATAATTTGAAGCGACAAAGTTTAATGAAAATATATTACGTATACTGACCAGACCAAGCTCAATATTTCTAGAGTCTTTACAAGATATGCCTATTAAGCGACAAATGACTATTGAAGTAAGGAAAGAAACGTATTAAGATCTTGTATATATTAGTCGATAATTTATTTATCTATGAGTGAAAGAGAAAGAGCGAGCGAATAAAGAGAAAGAATAAAAAGAAGTAGAAAAGTATAAAAATTAGCGCAAAAATTGAATTTTATTGGATTGCAAGAAAGAGCATTTTAGAGATGCTGTGTACGTACTACGCGGACAGGAAAGGAATATACAATAAAGCAAATGTTTTCAAACGTTGTACTTTTGTTATACCTTTATTATATCTTTGACCAATAAGTTGACAACTATTTTACAATTTCTTTATTATCATTATCATTATTACATTTTTTATGTATTATTTTATGTATATGTATGTATATATACATATAATATCGTTTCTTTTTTAATTTCTACAATATTTGTAAGACATTTATATATAGAGAGTTTCATAATGTTGGGGCCAACGTTCGTGTACACTGCCCGACAATAATTCGACCCCATTCAGGGTGCGGGGGAAACGTAGGAGTTTGCCCATGGCGCCATCAGCTGGTAGCGATCGACTGACGCGGGCTTATCGACCTAATTATCGATCGCCAAAATATACTATGTTAAATAAGCAATAAAGAACAACACGCGTGCGATTTATTACAAAGTTCATTAGAAATAATGTAAAATTAAAAATAATATTTAAATAATATTAAATAACAGAATATAGTATTTACTAAAATACTATGCTAAATTTTATATATGTACGAGTAGAGCGCGGTAAACTGAACAGAAAAGTCATTTACCGTTTTGTAATTTTTGCAATAATAATTTAAATATTAATTAAAGGGATTGACGAATGATAACGCGTTGCGCGGCTAGACCGTGGGCTGTACGATCTAGATGGGCGTGTCGCATGCCAACAAAAAATAACAGCAGAGATCCAGCCGTAAGGTACCTTTTTATGCGTCGCTCATCGCTCGTTTTCAGCAATAAAAAAGTCACGTGACTGCGTAATACTCGCTAGCGACTAGCTATTAAATATAAAAATAACTTCCAGCAATTTAGTAGGACGCGATTTAATAGGACGACAAATTCCATTACATGTACAACAGTATACAGGGTGTTTCATTTTAATCTAGCCAGGCGAATATTTCAAACGCTGTTGAGTTTAGAGAAAAATGTTTCAGACAAAAGTTGTAGGGTTCGGAGGGGGACACAAGATGGTGGGCTTGAGTTTTTGATGAAGGTAAAATTGAAGGTCATATGAAGGTCAACTTTGTTTTTTTAAATAAAATGTAGTATTTTTCATTGCATATTCTGAAAGAACATAAAATTCTGCGTTAAAATTGTCTGACACGTTTTTCATGAAAATCCATAATTTTTGAGAAAATTTAGCAAATTTAGCAACCCTGAAAGTGAGAGGCAAGGAGACTCACGTAAATCAAGTACCCCGATAGAATCAGATTTTCGTCACATCCACGCCGTTGATTCCGGGTAACTCTAAGAACGAGAAATGTTCATGAACATGTACAAATTGATGCATGATTCTCTTTGCGAAAAACAAACATTTTTTTCTTTAATTGCTAAATTTCCTCAAAAATTATGGATTTTCATGAAAAACGTGTCAGACAATTTTAATGCAGAATTTTATGTTCTTTCCGAATATGCAATAAAAATACTACATTTTATTTAAAAAACAAAGTTGACCTTTATATGACCTTCAATTTACCTTCATCAAAAACTCAAGCCCACCATCTTGTGTCCCTCTCCGAACCCTACAACTTTTGTCTGAAACATTTTTCTCTAAACTCAACAGCGTTTGAAATATTCGCCTGGCTAGATTAAAATAAAACACCCGGTATACAGTTTATATAAAAATGTCACAAAGGAAAAAGCGTAATTGGATGATAGAGTGTACAAAAATTATTAATGAAATTAATATGAAGAAAAAGAAAAGAAGATTATTATTAGTATTGGCGGTAGTTCTTTATTTGACAAAAAAAAAACAGAAAAAACATTACAAAAGAAAATGTTTTTGGATAAATCCATTATTTTAAATAAGAGATAAATATGGATTCTATAATGCAATTTTACCTATAATTTCACAACAAATAAGTAGGTACATTTCGAAACTACTTCCGCATGAATGCAATTCAACTTGAAGAATTATTACGTAAAATAGCACCTCTAATTTCCAAAAAACCATTTAATTTAAAATTCCATAATAGTTCTCTATATTGGACCTCTAATATTAACCCTTAATCCCGACTCATGGGTCGTTTTCGACCCAAGCGAAATTTCAAAGTGCTGTAATTTTTGAAAACGGGTACGGAACGCGCCATATCCCGTACCTAAAAAAAGTTATGCCCCCGAGGATCCGCCTACGGAATAGCAGCGCGCCAGTCCCCCTCAGGTCGTCACAGTGAGCATAACAATCTCACCGCGAACGCAAACGACCCATGAGTCGGGATTACGTTGCCCAAATCAGCAGATAAATTTTTTTCTACTTTTCGTTTTTATGCGTTTAATATCATCAAAAAATCGTAAAAAAAAGGTCTGCATACGCAAAAAAATTGAAAAATTTTTTATGTAGTTTTTTGAAAAAATGGCATCGA